CCTCTCAACAACGGCCACGAACGGTATATACAAAACCCTATCTTTTTTGGCGTACAGTAATAAAAGGTCACGCAACCTCATCTGTACCATGCATCGTCGGGCAATACAGTATCTTATATTGCGGCACGTGTTTAGCCACTGATGGAAGAGTCACACAGTACTAGAAAGTACAAGGCCCCCATTTTTTTCTATTTTCCATTTTTTTTATGCTTTTACAGTACTGTATTTTTATTTCAGTCGTAAATCGAGTACAGCTGATAAGGCTCTGTGTTTAAATTGCATTGCGAAATTGAAAACAAAACATGCCTTGTGGCACAGTAAGTCACATTAAAATAGAACCTCACAGCCACTCACTCAAGCAAACAACCCTTGACAACTTAATTTCACGAAAGAGAAAGTAAACGATGTACAAACTGATGTACTCACTGTACCTTACTAGCTTTGTTTTGTTAACATTCCTGTTCTGAACATAAAACAGAAACCAAATTTTGGTTTCTGTTTTATTGATACATTTTGATTGTGTTACGTATTCATATGCTATAATAAGCATTTTTTAAATAAAAATGTTGTCCCCCCCCAAAAAAAACAAATGGTGTCATATTACACCCTTACCTCCCCATAATGGCCACCTCTCTACAACGGCCACTTACCTCTGTCCCCAAGGTGGCCGTTGTGGAGAGGTTCGACTGTATTTCGCATTTCTTGCGTTTTGATATGAAACCAGGCAGCAAAAAGCGAACGTATAAACATAAAAATTTCTTGCACTTTTTAAATTCAAAATGGATTATTGACAAACAAGAAACTTTATGTGACATGTAATTTACAATTTACGGACAAATGTATCTATCGATTGACAGGATTTTGCTGCGGCCTCTATTTCGCTCTTCTGTGACCTCTGGCTCTGTTCGGTCCATTTTATCCAATATTGACACACATGCTGAGCCCTTTTGCAGTTCATTATTGGGGTACCCAGTCTTCTCTCATTTTGATAGAGCCTGGGGATTAAAATTTCGTATGAGGGTTTTAGGTCGAATTTATCGTTAACGTTAAATTCAGCTTATAGAATCTCAAGATCTGGTCCAAAATTTAATATGTCACCCAGTAAATCTACAAATGGCGGACCTTCGATGTTATCTTCGTTGATTCAGGCTTCATTTCCAGACTACACCAGTTAGCAAATTAGAGCTTTTAATTCACTTTATTTTCAGCCATCGGTCCACGGACGCACCTGTCGCACCCTCGCCCTACGGGCCTGATTATTTTAGTGTGGTTAGCCAAAGCAAGAGATGTTGCCTTAGGGCTAGGGTTATCAAATGCAATACACCAAAGAAAAAAATAACAAAACCAACAAAGTTGCTGCACTATCCTCAACGGCGACAACTCGGAGAACGAAGTCTTGACCTATATTATCAATTTATTGAGAGGTCTGGTGAGAGTTAACGAAAGCCATTGGTGTGAAAATGTTTATATCTAGTATGTCTAGTAGACTGCTGGGTAGAGAAAAATATAACTTACTGATTGAAATCGTGAGAGTCGCTAACCCATTCCGTTTAATCGGCTCATGGGCTTCATGTATGCGCATTCTCTGAGTAAAAAATGCAGTAGCCATGAGCACGCGTCGCGGGCCTATTTTTAATATGTGTTTCATTGACAGTGTACAAAGTAAACTACAGGGCCCGGTTGTTCAAAGGATGGATAATGCTATCCATCGGATAAATCACTATCCAGTGGATAACATAGTTTGTTTTGTTAACACTTATCCACTGGATAGCGATTTATCCAGTGGATACATGTAGCGTTATCCACAAGTTGATAGTTAACCCATTGACACCTAAATCGGCCATAACCGGCCAAGAGGAGACCAAGGACTTGTACCACTTGAGATTCATGCCTTGCACGCATCTGTGGCAGTTAAGTCTGCGTGGCGACTTCCCCCAAGCTTTTGGCATTATTTTTGCCTTGCCTTTACCTTAATCTTGTCCAATCCAGCCCTTGCACTGCTGGGGAGATAAGTAAGGCTCTGCCAATACTCTTATCCTAATCCCCAAGTTTGTGGGGGGATATTAGTGAGGCTTTACTTTATGTACACAGCCTGAAGTCGCAAACTAACCTGCCACAGGGCTGTATTCTCCTATATGCCATCCTGTTGTTGTTTTGCTTTGTTATGATATTGTGTTACTTTGGGGGTTACTTTACCTTGCGTGACATGCTTGTAAATATGCGGAGCAGTGACATTAATTATTGATACATGTAGTTAAGCAAAGCTCCTTGTTTTCTCAGAAATGGTCCTTTTTAACATAACTTTGATCGATCTATCAATGAAAGCTGAAACGGGTTGAATTGACCACAAAAATGGATTTCAGGAGTTTTGATTAAGTATGGTATTTTTTGTCATTTTGATCTGATAGGTTCATCAAAAAGCAGTGCAAGTTCAACAGGAAAGAGCAAAAGGCCTTTATCCCTTGATGATACTCAGCCTTATAAACGACTTAGAAAAGAATTGACTGATCATCATGAAGGTAATATAATTTAAACACTATTTTGATAACTGAGTGGCATGCACATATCCATCATTGTTGCAAATGGTTAAAGTGAAATGTAATGTAATGCATTGCATTATATTGTACATGTAACATTTTGTCGCTAAAAATAAATAGTTGCAAGTTATAATATTACATGTACAGTATGTCACTTTATTTAAATGAATATTTTCGCTATAAAATATATATAGATGATTTAAACAATAGAGTGTTTCTGTCGAGGAACTATCGGCTGATAGTTGCCCACGGAAATTTTATGTTCTAAAAAACAATAAATATACAATAATTTTTTTAAAAAATGCTAAAAATTATAAAAAGTTTATAAAAACACCTAACATTGTCGACTATGTAGTCATCTTCCTTGAAGATGACTAAATAGTCGAAAATGTTCGGTGTTTTTTATAAACTTTTTATAACTTTTAGCCTTTTAACAATAATTTTATTTAAATGGTTATTAAAGTTAATCCTTGGGATCAATCATACGGTGAAATGAAAAGCGATAATGAACCAGGCAATCATATATTTTGCAATCCTCAAAAGGATGGATACAGGGATGTAGATTCATTTTTTGACAGGCGGGATTACATAGCTAATAGGCGGAAATACTTGGCCGGAGGCCGATGGTGCCGAAGGCACAATCCTACTAGGGGGGTTAGGGGGCATGCTCCCCCAGAAAATTTTGAAATCTAGACTCTCGCAAATGCGTTTTCCTCGATTTTCAGGGGTTAATTCATTGCCATTTTGGACTGTTCTCAGTAAGCAAGAATCAATGTTTTTCTGTTAATAAAGCTGTGAAAAACTTTGTGATGTGTCTTTTATGTTCCTTACAATACATACAAGAATAAATACCACGATTCAGTTAATAAGCAAAGCGTTAACGCGAATTGGCGTACATTATTTCGCATACATGAAGTAGAGACACCGCTGGTCAATGAGCCTTGAGCAAACACACGATCGTCGTTCAAAATGGCGTGCTAATGCCGTGTTTACAGTCGTGTTATTTACGGTAAGACAATAACAGAGGTACAAACGGTCAGAAAAGTTACAAAATATTTGGCTAAAAACATTCAGGAGAAAGAGGTATCCATTTTAAAGACTACATGGTTTTTCAGCCGGGAAAATCAGCGTGACAGCCGGGTATTTTTACCGGCTCCCGGCTATTATCTACATCCCTGGGATATCTAGTCACTTTTCTTCGCCAATGCCTGAAGTTAATGTTTTGGTATAAAACTAACTACAGTTGAACCCCTATTAAGCGGCCAGTTATCAAAGTCCCGAAACTATTGTCAGTGTAATACTTGTGTAATATTATACAGTGTAAACCCAGATTATGCAGCGCGGCTGTGGCCACCTTTTAGCCGTCCCGTTGAGGGTTCTCATATGCTTTTACCCATATTAAGTGACTACCAAGAATTCAATACACGTAGTTTGGCCTTGTTTTGAAAAAGCTGATGACAGATAAGAGTCCAAAATTGAGTAAAGATTGATGACAGACCTGTGTGGCCTTCCTACGTGATGTGATGTAACAAGCCTCTAAGCATGTTTGTATTAAACTAAAGTGACATTTCTACCACACCTTATGCTAATTTCTGATGAACCCCAATTAAGCGGCCAACCCCTCTTAGCGGCCACTTGCCATTTCCCTGAGAGTGGCACTTCGGGATTTTAATTAACAACATTTGGCTTTATTAGCCTTATTTTGAAGTCAGGATGTTACGTACTATCTTTTTATGGTATATAAGCATAGTTGCCAACCTAAAAAATTGAAATCCGAGAGATTGTCAATTTTGCCTAAAGGTACACAAACAACTGTCAGTACCTCTTGTCAACCTCCCAAAAAACAGATGACCAAACCAAAAAAAAGCTCCTGCAATTACACCCCAAAAAGTCAATAAACATCCAAAATCACCCAAAATTGGCTAAAATAAGCGTGGAAATACATACATTAAGAATTTTCCTCCGTATCCAGGAGACTTGGACCGGATTTCCGAGATAATAAGCCCCCACCAAAACTTACTGGTCACCATGAAGGTACAATGTAACTGACTGACATGTCAAGGTACATGTACTACATACAGTAGTGTTGAAATTTATACTATATATAAATTTACAGTGAAGAGCGCCCAAGAGCGCCCTGCCATTGCCACTTGACAAAGTTTTTGATTAATTTTTTTGACAACTTTTTGACATCGTTCAAAAACTCTAAGCTCTAAAATTGGCAATATAAAAATTTCAGGTATGCCAGTCTCTTTTTCTCCTTCACTCTCTTCAGTCTCCTTTTCGCTCTTCTTTTGCCTGATTTTAAGGCTTATTGGAGTGATAAAACTCGGGTTTTAGCGTAGTTGCAGTAAAAATGCTGAAATTTTCATGAACCACGTTGTGATAAAATCAGCTATAGTCAGTTATAGAAGACCAAAGACAGACAACTTCTGGGTGACATTTTAATTGAAAGTAAAACTTTTATGCCCTGAGCGGGATTTGAATCCACATCCCTCTGAGTACTAGTCACATGTGATCACCACTACATTGTACACTACAATAATGTTTTTATCTGCTCATTTTGAAAAAACTCAATCCACTTACAACCATTAACAAAAGAGGCTATCGCGGCTTCAGACCGCCAAATTTACTACCGTATTTCCTTGATTAACCCTTTCACGGCCACAGGCGACCTACCCATACACGGCCAAAGGCAACTTAACTTGCCCTACGTAATAAGCGCCCCCCTCGAATAAGTGCCCCCCCCCCCCCACCCCCTTTGAATAAGCGCCCCCATAGAATCATGAAATTTAAAATATAAACCCACCCCTCTCCTTGAATGCAGTCAAAACAAATGTGTAAAGTAAGAGAAGGTGGAATTACTCCAGGTTTCTCGCCAAAAATAAAATTGAATAAAAATACAACTGGTTTAATTATGGACTAGACAAGGGAAGCACTGAAATTTGAAATACATGTAAGCGCACCGGGCGCTTAATCGAGGAAATACGGTATTATTCTGGTCCTTTGAATAGGAAACAATGACTGGGTTCCAAAAGTCTCGCCTTTTCTTTGTTCAAAGGAAACTGAACGTGCTAATTCTTCTTTGGCATGACTTTCGTGGCTTCTGAAGTGATTACCCAACTAACTTTGTAATCATGCAAAGGGCCTAATAATGTCCTTTCATTCACGAGTTGGCTCATAGGAGCTTTGATTTAAATTTCTGATGAGCATCTCTGTCACTTGATAATTTATAGTTTTAAATGACCCCCCCAGCTCTCTTTGTCCATATTAAAGCCCCTAGCTTCATTTAAGGATGTTCTTCCCACGTTTAGTTTTTTTTTAAACTTTTGCTGCAGTTAGATAATGACCAACTCATGTCAGAAAGGCAAAAAAAATTGAGGGGCACCGTGCTCGTTTCGGAGATAAAGCGCATTGAAGACTGTAGTGTTTCTAGTAGCTTTGGCCATGTGAAGCGATATCGGCTTCAATGCTATCAGCCAAAAAAAAGAAGTAAAATGGAGAACTCTAGATAAGATCGATGTGTTCATTTCAACTCAAATAGGCCTATTAAGTAAATTTTTGCAGCTGATGTCATTAACCGGGCAAGGCCCTGGGGCCGAGCCCGGGTCATAAATCGCTCGTGGTTTTTTTTTTTTTTTTGGTGTCGAGCTCACCCAGGTCCTCACTCGGCCAATGGGTAATGAACTCCTGCCTGACTAAAGTTTACAAGCGTATTGAGTTTTACTTGAAGAGAGTATTATTATATTCCATTTCAAAAACGCGTTTATGAGTTTAAACTTGCTACACAGAAATTGTCAACAGAGGTTTCGGCAGAAATAAGATAAAGATGGCCATTTCGTCATTCACGCAATGTGCAGGTCATTTCAGGTTGTACGTTGCATGTACTCACAGACGAGAGGATTGTTTGCGCCGATCTTCTATTCCATTGCGCAAACTGCAGACTTTAGCGTGACTGGCTTGACTACTGTACTTTCTAGCCTGCGAGCAAGCTCTCTTGGCGTTTTTTGAGGGAAAAGAGAAAGAGCGGGGGAAAGAGCGCTTGCACTTATGGCTCAGAATTTTGAATGCCGCCCCTCAAAACCCCCCGCCGTTTCCAGCTGTTTGAGCTGTCATAATTTGGTCAATTGAAACTTCGTGGTCGTCTCAATTTTCTACGTAACGCAATGCCTTGTATTCGATCTCACACGCTCGAAAGTCGTTTCTCGAAAAGTACTGAACGGATCGAATCGAAAAACATCTCTATCGATAGGGGTTTCAAAGCGCAGGACAGCTATAATATTTGTTCCCCGTTTGTTAGAAATTCCGCTCTGAAATTTCTGTTGCAAGATTTTGCATATTTAATTACAAAAGCCAGTGTGTAGTATTTCAAGTATGCTACGAAAAATGCTGTTTCTCCGGAACTACCGTACCATTTGACTCGAGAGAGGTCTCTTTGGAAAGCAGTCTCTTTGGAAAGCATTTTCAAAGCGCTGAACAGAAAAAAACTATTTAGTACGTGCCCCTTCGAAGTTTACTTCCAAAAGTGAACTAATTTTACTGCATGAGTGATAAACACTATAAAAAGCGTCATGTTTGCTAAGAAGACGTCATCAATTAATTAATTTCCACCAATCAGCATTTCGCGTGCAAGCTCTCTTTCACTTTCCCACCCCCCACCCCCCAAAAACCCCAGAGAGCTTGCTCGCAGGCTATGTACTTTCTTGAGGTTTTCGCCAAGTAAGAAAGCAGATAAAATTTAAGCACCCGATTTTAATTTTACCCGTACGAGTAGCAAAGCTAATAGCCTTGACCAAGAAAGTAGAGTTTCCATTTCAAAGACCCGTATGTGATTTTTAACCACATAAATTTTGAACAGACTTTTCGAATGTTCATGTTGCGAAAAAGATCAGAAACTACAATAGATATCACCCTGCTAAAGATAGTTTTGAATATCACGCAAACCTCGGACCAATGTTGTCCAGATGTTTTGATGACTTTAATAGCGTGACTGGCGTGAAGCAAGAAAGCTTGAGCAAGTGAGGAGAATTTAAATCCTGAGCTTAGCAATAAAATACTTTAGAAACGTATCTTTATAATATTTCCATAAGCAAGAACCTAACCAAGGAAGAATAACTTTTATTTCAAAGACATGTATGTGAGTTTAAAGCCCGAAATGTCTCTTGCTGTACATACATTTTAAACAGACATTTCGCACTGTCTAACAATGGAGCAGAAGAAGCTATTGACCTGTGCGTCCAATGTTGTTTATGCCGTAATCTGGCTGTGTGACCTTAACCAGACTTAGCGCGTTATTCGATCCCAGCGAGGAATGGGCTTCCAGTTTCACGCAAACTGCAGACTTTAGCGTGACTGGCGTGACTAAAAGCTTTTCAACTAGGAAATCAATTATTAACTTTGCCGCTGCCCGGTTTTAAGTTATACATTAACTTCTTGTTCCTTTAGATAAAATTAACCTTACAGAAGGTAGCCTGTTCCAGGCTCTCGGATAGTGGGGACGAAGCGAAAAGGCGAACGGCCGCGCGAAGGTAGTCTGGGAGAGAGTTTAGGCAGCGGCGGGAGAGCCTGTAAGCATTTCTTTAACGACCTACTTTCGGTATAGCAGGAGCTGCTATACCCTCTGATTGGTTGATTTTGACAGGTTTGTCAACAAGTCGCAGCAAGCGTCATTCATGTCAATCAGCAAGATGGCGAGCGCGGTTCAGTTGAACAGTAAAACAGCTTGGATTCTCGGTTGGTCGTCACGTCGTGTTTATAAAAACAATAATAGAGCGGACAATAAATTTTCACTCACAAAAAATGACTCCAGAGTACTCGGCGCATCATTGTAATTTTTATCACGGACTTTGCTTTCCTCAACATATTACTTTACTCTTTGAAGTATCTTTTTAGGCCTCGTAGAACCGGAGATATCAGTTTTTTTTACTTGCCTCTTACGCGCGCTATCTAAACACTGAAACAGTCAAAACAATGAAACTGCACACACTCAGCTCGTGTTTATAAAACATTAGAGCGGCGGGCACCGGCATCTGATCAACTACAATCTCAGACAGAAGTGTTGGGACGCTTAACAAGTCTCCCCTTCCCCCACTTTCCAATGTTGAAAATTACAGGTTTTTCTCTCTTAAAATTTCAAAAAACGAGATATTTTTCAACATTGATGTAGGGGGTAGGGTTGTACGTGACCCAAACTCAAGTGTCCCAACTACTTATGTCTGAGATTGTATAAAGGAAATATTCAAGGAATTTTCTAGAGAAGTCGTGACACCACGATAGCGATAATATGTGCACGTCACGGTATTGTAACATTTAATTTTGGAATATACACATAAAAATAACTGTTCTATATGAATCTAGAATGAGGGTGGGTTATTGCCGTTTACTAATAAATAATTCAACAGAGGCTGAATGTAGTTAAACGACTTTCATTTCGAACAAAATGGTCTTTAAAGGCAAACTTGATTGTGATACAAGAGCTCGTGTTTTTTATTTACGCCACGTGCAAGGATTGTCAGTTCGTAAAGTAGCAGAAATTTGCGATGTTTCACGTGGTAGTGTTTTAAGAATCGCCCAAGAGAGTCGTGAAAGCAGACGTTCTCGAAAAACATTAAAGAAAGGCCGTCCAAGGAAGCTGACAGATAGACAGAGACGTTTAATTATCAGGAGCGTTTCAACACTAAGAAATGAAGAAGGAAACTTTTCCGCCAAGCGCATAATGGAAAAATCGGGAATCGACAATGGTGAAGTTTCGGTAAGGACAGTCACAAGACTCTTAAACGAAAATGGCTTTTTTTATTTACAAGCACGAAAAAAAGGGCTTCTAATGAGAGATGATCTGAAAAAAAGGTTATCTTTTGCCAAATTGTGCAAAAAAAATTATCCCGCCAACTTTTGGACTGAGAATTTATCGTTCTTTTTGGATGGAACTGGATTTGCACACAAAACAAATCCCTTTGATCAAGCTCGCGCACCAAAGGGGAGGACATGGAGGAAACTATCAGAGGGACTTACATTAGGTTGCACATCCAAGGGACGAAAAGAAGGAACTGGCGGAAAAGTGTTAAAACTCATGGTCGCCATCAGCTACGGAAAAGGCGTTATTATCTGTGAGCCGTACGAGAAATTGTGTGGTGCCTTCTTTTCTAATTTCATAGACAGAAACTTTAATACTATGTTTGAGATAGCAGACAAAGGAATTAATCACTATTGGGTCCAGGACGGAGACCCATCACAAAATTCGGCCCTTGCAAAAAGTGCAATGTCGAGGGCTCAAGCGAACCTTTTGAAATTACCAGCTCGTAGCGCAGACTTACATCCAATAGAAAATCTGTTCCATATCGTTTCCAACAAACTGAAGAAGCAAGCACTGACGCAGAAGATAACCAAAGAGTCCTATGAGCAATTTAAACAAAGAGTTGTAAACACAATGTACTTGATGCCGAAAGAAACTATCAACAATTTGATCGGTTCAATGAATGCACGTTTAAATGATGTAATTAAAAATAAAGGAGGGCGCACTAAATATTAATAATTTTTACTGTATG